AAGTTCTGAAGCTGGAATTTATCATGATGTATGTCACAGGTAACTTGTCCATTTTGTCCTTCATCATTGTCAGTGATTTTAACATATGCAATGAAACTGCTAATTTTGGCATTTTCAAAAATTTCAACTGTATTCTTATTGGATGCAGATGGAAAATTTATATCAATAACTGGAGCAATGTTCTCATGGCTTATCACATTCACATAAACTATTGCAATAGAGCTTAATGGTGGTATTCCTTCATCTTCAGCTTTTATATATAATTTATGTATTGATTTTTCTCCTGAATGAATCTTTTTTTGCAAAAAAATTTGCCCAGTTGTTTCTATTAATTGGAAGAATGATTTTGCTATCTTAGGTGTTTGATGACTCCAGTGATAAGAAACTCTTCCATTTTGTCCTGAGTCTAAATCTGTTGCTGATACAATAGCAATTGGTGTGACTTTGCTCTCTTCATTCTTAATTGAAATGTTGTATGTTTTCTCAGAAAATACTGGAAAGTTATCATTAACATCAGTGACTGAGATGGGAACATTCAAAGTACTTTGTTTTGGTGGAGATCCTGCATCTTTAGCTACAACTTGGACCAAATAAGAATCTTTTGTTTCTCTATCTAATCTTTCTTCTAATTTTAATCCCACCACTGATGTCCCCTCAACACCTGAAGCAATAAATAATGAAAATGGTTCATTTTTCATCTTTTTAAGTTCATATGTAATCTTTGAATTTTGTTGCCCAATATCTTTGTCAAAAGCATTAGGAATTAATATATTTATACCTTTAGCATCCTTTTCTGAAAATTCTATATTAAATTCTTTATTTTGAAATTCTGGTTTGTGGTCATTGATATCTTTTATGATGACTTTGATTTCTAAAATTCTTATTGAAGAAGCTCCTTTACGAACAGCTACATCAATGAGTTGAAAGCATTCTTCATTACGTTTACACATTGCTTCTGCATCCAATGTGATTGTTGCATATAATTTGCCTGTTTTCCTGGAGACTTGAAAATATTGTGAACTATCAACTTTACCTTGTAGTTGGCTGAATGTAATGAGCTTTTTGTCTCGCTGAGGAATATCATCCATTACCTTAGAATCTGCTGCAATATCTCCAATGTATGTTCCTGGACTTTTTCCTTCTTCTATTGTGTAAGTAAGGTCTACACCAAAGCAAATGGGTAGTATGCATAGGAGAATATATATAAATCCGAACATGTTTTATCTATTACCTGGAAATTAAACATTAAATTATTCAATGTGGAAATAAATAGCACATGAAATACATAGATATATAATGTCCCTTCTAATAATTGTTTGTACTCTTATTTAATTCCTTTGCAAAAATCAATTGTAATTTGGTCATTCAATCTATAAGATTTTTCTTAAATTTTTAAATGTCTTTGTTCATTTTTTTAAAATAGTTTTTCTGTTCTTTTTTTTTTTCTGTGATAATAAAATATGCACATCCTATCTTCCCTCTCACTTGTAACCGTCCATCATATTAAAATAAATGTTTTTCACCACTGAAGCTGGATTAGTAAAATAAAGCTTCATAAGCTTCTACTTAGAGTTGTTACTATATTACAGCATCAAATACATAATTTATGCTTTTGAATTTACATCTGCATTATAAGCAAGAAAGCTATGGCAAAAGTTGTAAAACACTTTGTGCACTCCATGGGTACTTTTGTCTTTTTCCAACATTTTTAAATACATAGTTATTTGATCTTCCTTTTAATATTATTTAGAAATTGAGGTAATAAAACTAAAGAAATAAAACTGAAAACATTTTTTTAAATTTGGAAGATTTCATTAATCAAAATGCAATTTTCCTGTGAGGATAAAATTAGGACACCACCCAATGTATTGTTATTTAAAATGCCTTAAATTAGAATCACATATACCACAATAGATGCAAATGGTTAGAACATCATTAGAGAGGATTTTTGAGTAGGCTGTCTTATTTAAACCTCAGGCATTTAGTTTGGTTTGCTCTTAATTTTGAAGTGTGTGCTATCACTATGACATGATGAAAAGACCTACCCGAAGCTTTCAGAAAGAAGATAATAAATGCACATGAGTTTAGGAAGGGATTGAAAAAGATATCCAAGGAAGAAATCAGCCAATTTCATGCCCGGAAAATAATTTTCATGTGGAAGACATTTAAAACAACTGTCAACAGACAAGTCAGGCTGCCTTAGCAAGTTCAGACCAAGGCAGACTGCAAAGTACTTAAAGAAGTTTCCAATAAAATATTTGCCTAAAATATTACCATGGGTGCCACAGTAAATATATGGATCTCTTATTAGAAAGAGATGTCACATATTTTATTTGCATGGGAGGTTGCAGCAATCATGGTAAGACTAAATTTTGCCAGTGAAAATCTACAGAAAAACCAGGACATCTGGGACAGATAAATCCAAAATGGAATTATTTAGGTACAGTAACAGAAGACATGTTTAATGCAAACCAAAGACAATATCTGAGCACAAGAACCTCATACCCCAATTATGGGAGTAAAAATGTCATGGTTTGAGCCTCTCTTGCTCCAGCAGTGCCTGACCAGCTCATTATCACATAATCCACCATGAATTCTTTATTTTACCAGATGATTCTTGAAGAAAAATGTTATACCATGTCAGAAAATTGAAAGAAGCAGATATTGACCATACAACATGATAAAGACCAAAACATTTCAGTAATTCCACCAAGAAATGGCTCAAAGGGAAGATATTGTGAATTCTAAAATGGACAAATCAAAGCCTGAATCTTAATCCTATTGATATCCTATGGGGCGATTTGAAATGGCCTGTGCATGCAAGGCATCCTTCAAACATCACACAGTTGAAAGAATTCTGCATGAAAGAATGGGATAAACTTTCTCTGAACTAATGTCAGAAGCAGTTACAAGAAATATCTAATTGAGGTGATTCCTGCCAAAGCAGACAATATCAGCTATTAGAGCATATGGTGTCCTAACTTTTCCCTCAGCAGGAATTGGTAGTTTTGTTCACTTTTTTTAAATAAATGGGCACTATTGATGAAAAATGGTCTACTCATAAAATTAGGGAAAATTCATGGGTCTCCAAATATTTTTGTAACTAATTCTTGTTGATTGTCATTCATTTGACCTTCCAATACATGTGACATTTGTCAGACACTAAAAATATAAATTTTTTTGTCATTTTAGAAGTGAGGTTCTGTTCATAATAAAAATAATAAAAATATGCTGTCAAATCCATCTGATTTTTTAAAGAGTTACATCTATCTTCGCTATTTACATTTACTATTATCCTCATCTTTATTGTCATATTCACAATGTTTTAACCATTTTATGCTTCAGCCTTCTTCAGGTGATATATGGTGGAATTTTTTCACACCTAATGTATATCACCTGAAGAAGGCCGGAGCGTACAATCACTGAAATGTCATGAATATGACAATAAAAATCAGAACAACAGTCCAAACAATGTAAACAGTGTAAATAATTACAATACCTTATCTCAGAAATATAAATAGTTACCTATGTCTTGTTTTATTCTTATTTTATTTTATTAGTTTTTTTTTTTTTTTTTTTTTTTTTACAAAAGTTAAACTTGAAACTGGGCACATATCATTGATAATTTTGTACTACTGATGTCTTTTTTTTCCAATTAGAGATTTTCTTCATTTTTTAAATAAACTTTAACAAAACTATTTTCCTTTGGTTTTGGCCTTATTCAGGCAGTTGCACAAACATATTCAATTCAAGATCTGAAATAATGTTTCAGGTAGATGAATCACTTATTGTCAAAAGAAAATTGAGTTCCCAGAACAATGGATATTTGGCATTTATGACACTACCATGAAACTTGGCTATCTAGAATTTGTGGGTGACTGATTTGCAGATACACTTCTCATGATTATAAAAAAAATACCAAGAAGTGTTATCTATTAGCTGGGTACCATATAACAGGATAAACCAAATAGGTGTTAACACAGCTTACGCTCACCAAAAAGTAAATCTCAATTGAAACTCTGTGGATCCAAGTACACAGACACACATAAATTATATTGAATGCATGTGGAAGAATGCAAAGACTAAATTGGCATGCATCTGTGGATGAATTGGTGTATTCAATAGAGCATTACCCATTATGATACCTTGAATAATATCTTGGACCATATTGATGAACTATACCTTACACCCTAACTTTTATAATTTTTTTTTAAATACAATTGTTTGTTTTTAATATTTCCTGAGAATAATTACACAAACAATTGCTTATTTTAAATATTTTAAAAAAAAATCACTTAAAAATATATATCCAGTTGTTCATTTAAGATAAATCTGTTTGACAAATTTTTATAAAAAATTTAAAATGCATGTATGGGGGTGCATATGTCTATGTTAACTCCCTATTTGGATGAATCCATGTAATATATGCTCCATGGAATAATTACTCACAATGATGCCTTCAATAATATCTTAGACCATATTGCCAAAACAGCATCCGACATCCTAATTTCTATAACTTTTAAAAGATTTTCATGTGCATTCACTGTATGTTTGTTTCTGATTTTAAAGGAGTTAAAACGTTTATAATTAATTTATTTTATTTATCACAGAAAAATGTACATACCCATTTGATCATCATTTAAGATAAATCTGTTTAATAAAATTTTAAAAAAATGTAAAATAATAAATCTGTTTCACTAGAACGTATTTAATAATAATTGGAGGAGGAGGAAAATCCCTAATGCAAGGTTTCACTTAAGATAAAAAATTATATCTGCCCATGTTTTGTGCAAGTTCCATAATAATAAAGCTAAACTAAAAAGGAAATTTATTTAAAAAATGAGGAAAACCCCTAATTAGAAAAAAAGGCAATGTTGGTAGTACACAGTTATCAATGATGTTTTCTGAGTGGTTGATTTGATTTTTTTATGGCTTAACAACCCCTTTGTGTATTATTTAAATCCAAAAAATATTTCAGATTGTAGAAGGTTGCTGATAGGACCTGATGTTCCCAAACAATTCCCAACTAAGTACCAACCAGGCTCAACACTGCTTAACTTCGGTGATCAAACAAGAGCTGGTGTTTTCAGTGTGATTTGACCATAAGCATCAATGACATGAGCATAGTTGAAATTTAACATTTGTAAATAAAAACAAGATAAACATATTACTTAAATAATCAGGCATCAATTTGATATTACATTTGTATTATGAACAGGTCACTCTCCACTTCTAAAATAGATAAAAGATTCAATATTTTTCAATTTTGACAAATGTCATGTGTAGAGGAAGCTCTAGTGAATGCTAATTAACAAAAATGAATCACTAAAACATTTTCCTCTTTTTTTTTTTTTTTTTTTTAAAGTGGACCATTTTCCATCAGTAGTATCATTTTCATTTTTTTATTTTCTAAGCATAACCAAACAAATATAAATGATTACATTATTTGGGCTGAAATCTAAGAAGCAGTATTTTGCTACAGAAAAATTGAATCAAATATTTTAGATACTGATCAAAATAAATTGGTTTTCAAATCAATGCATTTTAAGCTTTTTTAGTGTAAACAAAAATCATTTTTTTAAAATTATATAAATTTAAAAATAATTAGCTATTATCCATTTTGAATAAATTCAATACATTTTCATTAATTTCCAATTTTATTAATCGCTTGATTATAATTTAGCAATATAAAACATATATACTTCGTTTGAATGTCATACAAGAGCCATTCTAATGAACACTATTTTTGGATACATCTAATTAGCTTAAATCATTAAAGAATAATTTAAAGGTAAGTTTTAGGCAAACAGAACATACATTATATTGTAAAGGAGATTATATTATACTAGTCTTGAAAGTGGAGAATGTCTGGCTGCTTTGAAAATCAACATTGAAAATTTTACTTCAGCTTGACCATCGATTTGTTGAGGAGAGGCAACTTAGGTATAGGGCAATTGAAGTGACAAATATTTGAGATTTGAGATTCAGTATGAACTGAATTGGAGTTACTTCCCTTGCACTTGTTCGCCTCAGTTCTGTTACATTTTGTGAACACCTATAAGTTTGCAATAAAGACCAAATTTAATATGGCATAATGTGAATGGATATACATTTTAAAATAAAAACAGTGAAACAATGCAAGTGAATAAATGTTCTAAATTCTTTTAAATATGGGGAATATTTTAAAATATATGTCCCATCGTTTTTTTTAACTAGACATTATTAAGCAAATCTTATTGATAGTCATTTAGAATAAGTAAATTGTCAAGTCTGTTCATCATTACTACCACTATATTTTAAAAATATTCTACATAAGTATATAGAATAGCATATATGTAAAAATTAGTATATGTATAAAAACTTTCTGGTAAATTGTTTTTCATAATCTACTTCAAAAGTAATGTTGTGGTTTATATTTTTTAAATTTGAAATCAAGCTAAAATTTTGAGTGATAATATCTATTTGTACATAAATTTTACTTATTACAATGTATTCTTAAAAAGTTAAAATATATTAAGATTTATATTTCACAAATTTGAAATACAGTGACATTCAAAGTAATTAATTTTCTATGCATGTTAAAATTTTTACTAGGTTGAATAAATTCACAAAATTAAACTACTATGCTACTTAAAAATTAAGAAACAGTGCATTTTTCAGAAAAGTGAAAAAAAAAATCTTGAAGTCCATTATAAAAGAAATAAGTGAGCTGGGAAAAGTTAAACATTTTGAAATGTTTATTTGAAAAATATATCCATCAAAATTCTTTAGAAAAATACATACATATCATTAAAATTCAAACCAGATATATTCCTTAATGGTAACATTTCTGTAGATATAGATATAAAAAGTTATAAGGATTTCAGTTTTTCTAATGAATTGGATATTACTTTGTATAATGGCGTCTCATAACTGTACCAGTGAAAGAAATGTATTGGAAAAACTGGTTATGACATTGAGTATAAATATCTAATACCAAATATTTAAAAAAAACAAAAATATTTTTCCAGAAAATTATTTAGGTATGTTGTTTGTTTTTTTTTTTTTTTTTTTTTTTAATATCTTTAAAATTATTCCCGCAAAAGAAAAAAGAAAAAATACAATGTTGTTGAGACAAGAGGATAAGTATGTCAGATGTAAATGATGGCTGCCAGTGATGTGTTTTGGGTTGAGGGAAACAAAGAATCTCATAAATGTATATAAAAATTCTACTTACCTTTGTTATGATGTTCAGTATTCTAAGATGTATTATCCAGTGATTGTTTTGTATAGGTTAAGTCCAGTAAGAGATTTAAAACTTTGAACTGAAGATGTGTTTAAGAGTGTGACAAAATAGTTGTCCTAAGAAGTATGGTTTGTGTGTAATGGCTGCATTAGTCAGAGGAAGGAGGGTGTTGAGGTTGTTAATGTGTAATGTAGAAAATACTAACCCACATTCATATGTTTGTCTTATGACTTCAGATAAAATTTATTTTTCTTCATTTCTCAACAAAATTATCATTAGATTTAATTTTGATAATTTTAATAAGAAATTATGATGAATTGAATTTGTATAATTTCTTTTATAAGATTTATACTTTTTGCCTTTGTTCCCACAATGCAGTGTAATAGTGAATGTGTTATTCATCCTGTAGAATCTACATTCTTCCCTCTATCCACTGTGTTCCTCTAAATTGTCAAATTTTCATTCTTGAATTAAACGTATACATTCTTAATTGTCCTATTTTATCTTATCACTAATTAAGATTTACATGAAATTATTATTGTATTTTAATGCATCTTTATGGGCATGAAATACTTTTTCCTTATAACAGATTACAAAGAAATATATTAATACATTTGTATATGCACAATTATCACCAGTATTGAAGACACATTTTAGGAATTATTTTACATTTCTGATAAATGTTGACTATTAAAAAAATGATCTGCTTATATAAGAATTTTATTTCAGAATAAGAATAATTTTTTTTAATCGGGTAGCTTATCATTATATACATTGATCATTTTGTGTTTATTTTGCAGTAAAACTCTAAACTGAAATATTTCTTCAAGAATATGATGTAGTAAATGTGTATATAAATGTTTGTTATAATTTTGTTTGTGTAATGATTATTAGTTTTTGTGTTATACTGGAGGCAATGATCTTGAATTAGAAGTCTGTTGATCATTCATTTCAATAAAATTGGTCTTAACATGCATAAGATTTTAAATATATAATGTATTAGCACTGTGTATTATGTCTTTCTTTTTCATAAAAATGCTTATGATAATATAATTTAGTTATATTAATATACAAATAAAACTTATTAGTGAAATGTTTCTTGTCAGTAAACATTTATATTTGTAGAATATGATATCACAAATGTATGTGTTGTGAAGGTTTGATATAGTTTTGTTTGTGTAAAGATCATTACTTTTTGTGTGGCACTGGAGGCAATGGTCTTGAATTAGAAGTCTGTTGGTTGTTCATTTCTATAAGATTTCTGGATTGTGGGTATGGAGCAGAAATATCACTTTTGTTAAGATGGCCTGAATGAGTTGAAGATTTGGTAGAAGGAAGATCTGAAAAATAAAATTTGCTTGGGATAATATTGAGACATAGAAATTATTGAAATGGATCCATTAACATTTTTCATCAGTAATAAATGTGTGTGTGTGTTTCTTAAAAAACTAGATGGATAACACTTGGGTATACCAGGTGCTATAAGCTTGGATATGCAGGTGGTGTAATGAATAATGGCTTGGAATTTTAAATCAGAGTGTCAAGTTCCAATTCCAGTCGGGTTTGTTATGTTTGCTAATGAGTAAATAACCTTTGCAAAGATATGAATCCACCTCTACTCTCCCCAGCTATGGGTTGATTAATAGAATTTGTATCAGTGAATCATTATCATCTCCAAAATCTTCTTACATTCTAAAAATATTTTCTGGCTTTAAATGACCTGCAAAAGGTTGGTAAACCCTAAAAAACAAATCAATCAATCAAAAACTCTTTAATCTAGAGTAACATCTTAAAGAAATGACAGAAGTCATAAATCATATTAATAGGATGTATCAATAAGTCCATATCTTGTTGCATTATGAGTAATTTTAATCTGAAATTCACAATGTATAATTAATTTACATGATTAATATAAATTAAATAAATACATTGACAGAATGGAGATTATATTTAAAAATGAATATTTATTGCATAAGCACCTTCTCTATCATTAGATCATGCGCCTATTGATGTATTTTCACATTTCAAATATTCATTATGATGTCAAGCTCTGCATTTGAACATCTGCAATTTGTAAACGGATCATTGTTATTATTTTAATAATTGTTCAGATTATTAATCTCATTCTTATTGTTTTTGTTTTTATTATCACAATATTTTATTTAATTCATTCCACAGCTTTTTCTGTGTAAAGAAACTGGAATAAGTTGTGTCACTTTTTATGGGTAGAGTAAATCAGAAAATGTGTTTGGAATAACCTGTATTGCACACTTTGTTGTGAGGCTTCATATAATTAGTTAACCAAATCAGCTTTTGCTTGTTTTATTTTGACTCCCTACCATTCTCTGGTCCATAAAATAGACACGATTCTTTTTCTATATGAACAGTACACATTAAAAAGGTTCAATGTTAGATCAACTGAAATGTTGATTGCTATGTTTTTACCAAGTAGAAAGAAAAATGAGATAATCCAAACAACTCTTCACAGTAGCATTGTAGAAAATTCTAAATAATCTTTAAGAATTTGTTTTTTGTAGAATATTTGTTTCAGTTTTACAAATTTATTTCATCAAAGGTCTTTTCATCTATCCTATTCAGAATAGCACTTTTATTCCTATTCTGATTTTCCTAACACCTTTCATTATTTACTCTCTTTCAGTGAGTATTGATAATGCATTATTTACGACTTGAACATAAATTTTAATATATGTGTTTAAAATTACCTGATGTTTCTGGCAAATTTGCAGCATTTTCCTCTCTCCAGCTAAGTTCAGTGTCTGACTGGGAAGGTAAAGCAGATCTCCAAGTAAAAAAATAATCAGGTGGAATTGATACATTCTGTGTATACATCTAGTAAAAGAGATTAATAAAGCAAAGATA